AGAGACGGAATTTTTTTCAATAAGAAGCATCGGATTTTCTCGAAATTGACTTTTCACATGAATAAACCATTTAAAACATGGGGTAAGTCTCTGCAGTTACCATATCTAATGAGGCAAAATTTTGGCCCAATATGGTCTAAGCTCTTGTAAGGGACCACCTCCCGTAAGCGCTTACGGGATGTTCGACTGCAATTCCATCCTGAACGGACATTTCGTCTCTCATATTGAAATTCGAAGAGACCACAGGAGGCAGGGCACTCTTGTCATCAGGCCAGCCCTGCTGAATACCGGCACTTCTTCCTTTAGTTCGTGTAGTGTGATCGTCCGGGTGAGGGTAGTTCTGCCGAAAAAGGACTGTTGTTGGCGACTGACGTTTCGACAACCTGAGCGGAAGTCATCTTCAGAGTCAAGTGAATAGTGTTAGTCTGTCGATGATGTTATAAGTCTGGTCCGTTGAACGTGATTGGTCAGTTCAGCCATGATGTTATTGGCTGAAAGACTCGTGTAAAGTTTGTCATCACTCATTGGTTGGTTTCGATCCGTCTATTGTTAGTCAAAATGGTCGGGTTTTGGTCTGTCTATTGTTAGTCAAATTAAGTCGGGCTGTTGGAAGTCCGTTTGTCGGTTTCGTTTCCATCGTGGATAAGTTGTTTGTAAGCCGCCGGTAGTTGTTGACATCTGTTAAAAGGTGTTTGTTCTAGGTTAGTGTACCAGCTTTCCAGAGTCAGTCGTTGAAAATAGTTTGTACTGTACGGTTAAGCACTGAGCAGAGTCCCAATCAGTGTTGTGGTTTTTCAGTTGAATGATGTACAGCAATGTGATTGTTGGCATCACCATTTCTCGTGGCTCGTTTGTGTTCAGTCAGTCTCGTGTCAAGATTTCTGCCAGTCTCACCAATGTAGGAGGCCTGGCAGTTGGAGCATTTGATCTTGTAAACTGCTTCCTGTCTGTTGTTAGGTTCGTCCCTGTCTTTAACGTTGGTCAGTAAGTGTCGCAACGTAGTTGTAGGTTTTTGGGCCACACGGATGTTGTAGGGCTGTAGTATCCGTGAGATGGTCTCAGAAGTGCCCTCAGTGTAAGGTATAGTCACTGTACTAACAGGTGTTGGGTTCCTGTTCGTTGCGTCAGCTTCAGTAGGTCGGTAAATGTTTCGTCTAATAAGGTCAGCCTTGTAGTTGTTTTTGTGAAAAACACGTTCTTCCTTCTTTAGTTTCCAAAATCAAGCATCGCTCACTGTCAAAAAAGGGTTTTAATCCGTTCAATTATTCCAGAACACGTTTTGTAAGAAAAAATCTTTTATAAATTTATATGAAACCTCTTTGTCATTCTTTGTACTCTCGCAGTTCGAGTTGTTCTTTTCCATAGCTCCTTTGCAATCACATAGTCGTGTATAAAGTCTCTCAAAATTGATCAATCTTTCTCGGGACCGTATTACAACAATATCGGCGCTTGGTCTTTTTGGTAGGGAACCTCTCTGGTGATCACTGGGCTCCATTATCATATGGGTCTTAACTTTGAATTATCAGATGTAAATCTTGTATACGTACCCTTTTCCAAGAAGGCGGAAAATAATAGCAAATTTCGGAAACTTCAACTTCAACTGCTTTATTATTGCGCATTATTTACAGACTTAATTTACATCAGTATTATGAAATAAATATAAAAAGAGAAATATATGCTACATCATGATAGGACTATGGAGAGAATTAAAAAAAAAATATGTGCGTGGTGACCAGAGTCAGCCATTGCCTTTCGAGCTGGTTACTACCATGTCACTTGAGTTACTTTAAATGCGGTGCACCAAAAATACGTTACAGTCGGAAAAGTCGGCAAGAATGTAAATTACAAGGCTACTTTGGTTTACTCGACTGGAGGATGACCAAAATAAGCGGAACTTCTTGAAAGGTAGACGTGCTTTTTATTTCGTTTTAGCTTCCAGTTCCAGTCCGTCTAGCAAGGCTCCAGGTCAAGGCAACGAATGCCGAGCTATTCAATGCTGACCCTGAACGTTCACAGGGCGACCTTCACAGAAGAAAGCCCCTGAGAGAGACAAGTCTGCGCGAGTGGGTCCCCTGTAAATAGGCTTCACAGGCCACGGTCAATTGAACAAGTACACAGACGTTGAAGTTCAAACTCATTGAATCGGCGAAGATAAGAGTTTGATGTGATGACGGCACAAATGCCGGCGGCGGATTTGGTCGATTTTAGCAGTAAATACTATAAGATAACGCGGACATATTCGAAGGTTGCTAAAAATAAACGATAGCCAACTTTTAGAAGTAAAATAAAAACCATTTAACAATGAAACAATCCGTAACACGTTGAGAAATGCAGATCTATTTCCCTGTTGTGATGTCACTGTTCCACGACTTCCACTCCGTGCTACCATAATAACTTGCAAAATACGAATATCGCCGATTTCGTTTCTGATTTTCATCCCCTGGTAGTTCCCTGGGAGATCGAGAAATGAAACTTGCTAGAAAGGAAATTTTCAGTTGTTTTCGAATTTTTATCGCCCGATAGAGAGGCGTGACGATACCTGTCACGCAAGCACCTACAGTTATGCATGAAGGCCACGTCGACTGGTCAGCGGGTGCAATCGTTCCGAAAAAACAAATATGGCCACCATCGTTCAGCCCAGTGAAGGTTAAAAAGTTATTTTGTACGGCAAAGAAAGCTGGAAGACATCTTACTACTGATCTAAATAAGATCAACTCGACATGAAGCACACAGACGAAGAGTCTGTACAGAGGTTAACTGTCAGAAGAATATTTCTTACGCGCGGAAAACTTAAAGCATCTAGTCGCACTTCGGCGCTGATGTCAGGTTTTGCTATGGTGAGCTTTTGAGCTGTTTTTTGTTTGGGTTTTTAGTGTGAGTTTACATTTATCTGTAGAAAACGCAGGGTAACTTTTTTTAGCTTCGCTGTAGCTTACTTGCAATGAATTACCGTAGTTACTTTGCTAATTAACAAAACTGCTCCTTGTTTACCAGAGTTTAGAGCATATCTGTATATCTAAGCTTTAGCTTATTTGTTTAGTTCCTTTTCTCTTTGAAGGCTTGTGTGAAAAACGTTTTACATTCATTTCGGAAGCTAGAATATCTAGATATATCAGATTATTGATTGCAATAGAAAAAAAGGTTCTATTTTCAAGAGTGTCTTTTACGTAAATAAAGACATGAATGACCATCGCTGTTGTGTTAAGCTTATGTTCAAGCCTGAATTTTTTCAGGCGTTACTTTGACAACTGCGTTAAGTTGTGTACATAAATGCAATGATCAATCGCGTCTTTACGTCTTTCTCCACCGTTCAAATTTAGGCGTTTCACTTGGTCACTTGCCGTCTCTTTTACAATGGAAGCAATATTAGTTTCTCGATTTGTACATAGTGTGTCCAATTCGCACAGCCTATTAAATATCACGAGCAATTTATTTATTTCGTGATGGATGTTTGCTTGTTATGTGTACATTAGAGAAGAAGGAACTTAAATCCACCTTAAGAATTCTGATGCTGAGAAAGGTGTCTAATTGGTGCAAACATTTGCATCCTTGTTTGTAAGGAGGTATCAACTTTCAGTGCTATATTTTGCAGGTGGCAATGGTGGAAATTCAACTAGAACCTGGCATCCCTCAAGAACTATTGATAGCATTCAGTGTGATGACTACCGTTCTTATTTCAGTACATGTCTTTGCACTCATGATATCTGTCTGCATTCTTCCGAATATCGAGGGAGTGGCAAATATTCAGTGTCAGGGAACTCAAATGGTACGTGATTCACCACATGAAAAACTACATACGCACATAGAGATTGCATGGATCTTCTCAACAGGTCTTGGGACACTTCTCTTCTTGGCAGAGATTGCAATACTCTGTTGGGTGAAGTTCTACAATTACAGCAAACCTGCGGCTGTAGCAGCTTCTGTGGTGCTGGTGCCTGTGTGTATTGTGTTTGTTTGGTTTGCTATTCATTTCTACAGATCTCTTGTTCAACACAAGTATGAAAGGTCTTTTCAGGGAATTGAGGAACTTCAGCAGATCGCTAACCAGCTTCACACAGACACAGGAACATCACCAAGTTCACCTGCTCCTAGTCCATGCCCTAATCACAGGGTCTAACAAAACGTTTACTGCACATTTTCATGGTCTTGTAATATAACTAACAACTGGATATACGTTGAGAGCTCATAATTTTAAACCATTTTAATTAAAGAACACGTTTTAAAATCTCCAATATGGATATACACTGCAAAGACATGAATTATCATTGCAGTTATGTACATAACTTACTGGTAAACAGCTGTGAAAATAAAGACTGAAAAATGATCATTCATGTCTTTGCATCTTTCTCTGTAGTTCAAATATATGGTCTTTCATTTAATCACTTGCATGGCTATATACACTCAGGAACAAATAGTCTGTAAGATCAGTTTGTTAAACCGTGGTGTACCATAAATTTAGATCATTCTTTCATTTATAAGCATGGTCTACATCATCTGCACTTGTTCAAGGATAGAAAAAGTTAAAGTTCAGGGCTTTGTGGTTTGGCGACCATGTGTAACATTAAAGTTTGAAACATCTTTATATTCTAGGTAAAAGGGACTTAAACAAGAAAGTATTTATTTTATTTTATTGATAACAAGTACATTATTGTATTGCTCTTAATAACTGGAGCATAGTAGAAGTTGCTGTACAAAAATAATATTAAGTTATTAACATTGTGAAAGGCTTATAACAGGCTGCCATTAGTGATTACAGTGAACAGTAAAGAATACGTCTAGCTTCTTTTAAACCTGATTTTAGTTGTAATATGATTTTATTTGCTGCCATTACATCCAAGTTTTCCAATCATCATTCAATGACCTAACAGGCTACCTCTTGTATAACTCATAACATTATTCTTTCTGTGGTTTAGAAGGATTGTTTGTTGACGTTTTGCTACTGGAACTCAAGAATGTCTTGTTCATGAAGACAGATAGTTTAAAAGTTGTACTACTTTTAGCCAGGTTGTTTTCTTTGTTTTAAACTACACTGATGTTCATCACAATATTGTTTAATTTTAGCTGCGGTGTACAGGGTTCTTGTGTATTATATCACATGCCTGTGGCTTCTGTTGGTATATATGTACATTTTTAGAAAAAAAAGGGAACTTAATAACTATCAAGTTATATAAAATTAAAGCATCAATTTATCATCACTGCTGTTCATCCAGAAATGTGTCTTCTGCATCTTTGACTACACCTTTTGTATCTTGAAGTTTACACTGTATTTTAAGAAAAAAAATACAAACAAATTTAACTGATTTCTTTTGAAACAAAATAGGAAAAAAACCTAACACTGTGCTGAGTGTTGTCATTGATGCCAATAACATTTCTGTGAAACATTTGGTCTATATGGGACAATTTTTACCAAGGTTATGAGTAGGGACGACGGCTAGATGCAGCAAGGTAAGTTTGTACACAACTTTTGGCAATAGTTGTTCTTATGAGGTAGAAATATAAATGACTTGAGTAGAGACAAACAATCATTGTCTTTTTCACTCAATGCTGTTTACTCAATTTCTTCCACTCTCCCAGACCCATTTGCCTGAAAAGCAGCTGGTAATCAAGTCTACACATCACAATGTACTAAGCAATTTTAAGACCATGCTAAAGGAGCTACACGTAATTTTCTGAGGCATATTATGAGAGAGATGTATTCAAATTACAAAGCTGTAGAACAATGAGTAAAGATTGGTCTTGGGTAACACCCCAAATAACAGTAAACAGCTGCCAGAATGATGACCAAGGCAGTAAAATCTACCATGTTCATCTCCTGAATGACATACAGTATGATTGACACTAACCTCGGGTAGTGGGTATGTTGTTGGCTTGGGGGCTTCATGTCGACCAAAATCTTCAACAGTGCCACATTTTGGAATGTCATCACACCACACTCCAGTGTATAACTGCCCTCGGTCAAGGTAGAAAAATTTTCCTTTTCCATGTTTTTTGCCATCTTTCCACTGACCTTCATATCGATTGTCATTTGCTGTCAAAAGAACACCAGCCATAATTGAACATTCAAGTATGACCAAACTGGATGGTGCAACTTTGTGAAAAGTCTTTGTTGTGAATTGTTAATTCATGTAAATCAAGTATATATTCTGCTTACATACATTTTAATACAATCCTCAGAGGCTTCAGTTGGGGCAAGGATTTCAATATACAGTATACTGAATGATATAGATAATGGCTCACTTATAATGTGGAATTTTTAACATCAAACCCAACCTTTGAATTTGGTCCAGATGAATACAGGGTTGATGTACTGTGAAAAATCAAAGGGCCTTCGAAGAGGTAAAAGCGACAAGTGACACGACCCTGAAAACCAGTGACATGGGAAGTTCTAATCAGTGACAAGCAAATCAAATGTGCCACTAAAATTTGACAGCCACATGAGGAGCACTAGGAAAGGCAGCAACATTGACCCTTTTTGGACTTTTTTCCTATTTAGAAATTGTAGTCTCATCAGTCAACAACAGGAATGGAGTGCTGCCTTGTTAAATGGTTCCAAGACAGCAATATTAAAATTAGCTAGAGCTCACCTAGCCTGAGCATTCCTTCACCATTTTTCATGTTATTGTACCATTCTCCTTCATAAACTGCACCATCTGAATAATACATTCTTCCCCAGCCACTGCGCTTGTCTGCATACCACTCCCCTTCATAGTATTCGTTATATGAGTAGAAATTAGTTCCATAACCCTGTGAATGAAACACTATTTGTTTTCAGTTAAAGATAAAAATCAAGACCTACATATACCAAGAAATTATAACTTGGACACAGGCTCTACATGTACTGAAAAATTCCTTTTTNACAAGCAAATCAAATGTGCCACTAAAATTTGACAGCCACATGAGGAGCACTAGGAAAGGCAGCAACATTGACCCTTTTTGGACTTTTTTCCTATTTAGAAATTGTAGTCTCATCAGTCAATAACAGGAATGGAGTGCTGCCTTGTTAAATGGTTCCAAGACAGCGATAAATTAGCGAGAGCTCACCTAGCCTGAGCATTCCTTCACCATTTCTCATGTTATTGTACCATTCTCCCTCATAAACTGCACCATCTGAATAATACATTCTTCCCCAGCCGCTGCGCTTGTCTGCATACCACTCTCCTTCATAGTATTCGTTATATGAGTAGAAATTAGTTCCATAACCCTGTGAATGAAACGCTATTTGTTTTCAGTTAAAGATAAAAATCAAGACCTACATATGCCAAGAAATTATAATTTGGACACAGGCTCTACACATACTGAAAAATTCCTTTTTATGAAAGAAGCTAGATCTCTTGACATGTATGTTATACTACGAAAATCACTGAACTGTGGAATGGGCTTGAATTTTTGTACAGTGACCCGTCACACTTTCTTTTACTTTCTTTTCACTTACAGTCAACTCACAACAACACGAAGGAATGTGGGTGGGCCAGCAAAAGAAAGTGTGTGTGGCCGCTGAAGAAAAATTCGAGCCAATTCAGTCTATGTTCGGTGATACTGGAAACACAAGAAAAATAGTTCTTTGCATTGAGTGAAAGACATGGATACATACATGTCTTTTATCATTTTTCCATCCTCCAGAGTAAACCTTTCTGTATCCAGCCCCCTCAGGTAAACTATATGTACCAAAGCCACAACGATGGTCATCTTTCCAGTCTCCATCATAAATGGCTCCTAACTTCTTCCATGTCATGGTCCCCTTTCCTAATCAAATCAGTACATTTGAACCTTGTTAAAACATGTACAGAAACCAGTTTGCCAAATGGGAAGATAATATGATCTACTGTAGGTACATGTTTCCTATTAGGGTTCAGTGGCAGATCCAGACCTTGAGCTAAGGGGGGTGGGGTGGGGGAGTTATTTTGCTTGCCCTACCGACTTTTCTTCCTTTTGCCATTTTCTTTTTTTTTTTAACCCAAAATAAGGGGGGCCCAGGGGGCGGGCCCCTCTCCTAGATCTGCCACTGGGGTTGTAGAAGGCAACACTAAGAGGCCAAGAAAACACAACCCAAGGGAATCCAATCCAAAAGGTGAATACCTTCATGGAATGTTGGGAGTGTACTTGCTGGGAGTACTTTAAGTGAGCTAGGGTGAAGCCTTGGGGGAGCGGGAAAAGAAAAAAGTTAAGGTCTTCAGTACCCCCCAGATTCTTCAATCTCTCACATACATAGGCTCGATTTCCACCGCTTTCTCGAGTCCGGTCTACGTTCCTCCCCGAGAAGAGACGGCTGGATGCGTGAGCGGCAAAGCATGTCTGTGACGTATCTTCAAAATGTAATTCTTGCTGCGCTTCAGGTGGCTGGAAATTTCATCTGATGACAATCATAGGCAGGCACACATAACACCTACGGCTCGTAAAATTTGTGGCGTTTTTTCACATTACTGTTGCGGAAGGGCTTTCCATGCTGTGTTCTATAGAAGAGTTTTTTTTTTTTCTTTTTTTTTTTTAAG